GAATTTCCATAGTCACTTTAACCTTAACAACCTTTATAACGCACGCTATAAATCACAGTGATTTACACACTTTACTTACGGTACCTACTGTTCACTTGACTCAATTATCTATCTCTTCAATCTATCTGCTCCTTTGATCTATCTCTTCAATGTCGCTGGTTTTTTCGCCAGGCTTATATACTGAAATAGAGGGCGTCTAGCAAACACTCGAACATTCGCGGGGTTTCTCGATAATTCATGATCCTTCGAGAAACTCCAGCGCGCATGCTCCCAGTGTCGCGTGACTTCCGCTGTCGTAACAATACATATATACTTACTCAAAATAAACGTGATCAGCTAGAAAGTGAGTAACCGTTTTAATGTAACTAAAAATTCATAGATAAACTAAACGACAGAAGGAATAATGTATGAACAATAAACAAAACTATTAAAAAAATAGAATTCGCTATCTCAAAACTTGTAACAAGTCTAAGAATATTTTCCATAAATTACAAACACTTGAAATTCGTGCATTATGTATAACACTCCACCTCTCAATTTATATGTGCTAACTGGATAAAGTTTCGCCAATCTCAACGGTTAAAACGTATTCATTTAACTGACACCTGTTGTATTCCTAGTTTTTTGTTTAAAATTTTATTTTCGGTGGTTTGGGGGGGGGGGTGAGTGAAGGTGGAAATAAGTTTGAAGATTTTATATAAAAAGGTATTTGAAAACGACTGAATGAATGACCAATTATACAACAATATTCTGATGTTTGGACGTTATTACAATATTTTCTCCCAAAGTTTTTAAGAATATAACAAATATCACCTGATTATCACTTCACATCAGTTCTTGAACTCAGTAAACCTCCAATTGTGGCACTAAATCATTACTTCATGTTAAAACTTCCTCTAGCAAGCAAAACATATAAAAAACAGATTAATATAAGTAATACACTGTTTAAGCCAAAATTATTTATTTATACGAAAACAACGATTTTGCTACATACTTCTGCTCTATTTGTTTGTTTTGTTTTGAATTTCGCGCAAAGCTACACAAGGGCTATCTGCGCTAGCCGTCCCTAATTTAGCAGTGTAAGACTAGAGGGAAGGGAGCTAGTCATCACCACCCACCGCCAACTCTTGGGCTACTCTTTTACCAACGAATAGTGGGATTGACCGTCACATTATAACGCCCCATGGCTGAAAGGGCGAACATGTTTGGTGTGAAGGGGATTCGAACCTGCAACCCTCAGATTACGAGTTGAGCGCCCTAACCACCTGGCCATGCCGGGCCATTTCTGCTCTAACCAAAACTTCACTCCCACCACTAACGACAAAATCTCAACAACATCTTGTTACATATCTGCTTGTTTGTTAATTTCTGGTAGAAATTCTTTCCGAGGAACTTGAGTGATAGAAGACCTTTCTTGATTAAACCAGTTTATTCTTTCTCGATACAAATTTTTAGTACACAGTAATTCCACAGTCAGTACGTTTTTCGTCACTTTAAACATAACAACTTTTATAATACACTCTATAAATCACAGCGATTCACAATCTCGATTATTTCGCTCTCTACGAGTGCAAAACACACACTAGCTCGAAACAAAATCGTAAATTACCCGAAACTCACCGTAACTACTGTTCACTTTATCATACCCTGACTTTTCTCTGCCAGGCTTATATACTAATAAAGAGGCGTCTCCAATATTCACGGAGTTCCCCGATTATTCGAGAAATTCACCACGCATGGTCCCAAGTCACGTAACTTCCGCTGTCGTAACAATCTGTAAACACTAAACTAAAAGAAATGTAAAATAAACAACAACAAAAAATAGGCGTAGTTTAATTTTTTGGAATGAAAAGGCCTAATGATAGTCAAAGCAACAAATAATTGTGTTGTAAATGGTTAAACTGATGTATTACTTTAATTGATTAAATACTACAAAATATAAAAGTAAACTAATTATAAAAAACACAGCTTGGTTTGAGTTTACTTACTGATTGTAGGTATTTTTGAAGTTACCGCTTAATTTATTTTAACAGTAACCTGTGTACTTCACAATGATCGCACTAGCGATCGAAGTTCAAGTCTTTTTACCAGGCGTCGCTTTTATTCCCTTTCTAAACCAACATGAGATTACATATCAAATAACTACAACCATACATAAACTTAGTATTCATATGTCACCGTTAGGTGAATCTCTTGCGATTTCGTAATGCAAAAACGACTTATTTAATATGCATTAGGTGGCAGGTTAGCTAATATTTTTAACACAAATATAAATATAGCTGAACTTAATGATATAAGGAAAATTACATAAACGATAAATAAAGCCATAATTAAAATAAAATGGAAATCGCTGCCTCTTGTTTTTCATAGTTTGCCGTGAGCGATTACTTGTGAACCACTTACACGTTGAAGATCATGCGCATTGTCTACAGTTATTTCAACACGCGGATTTGTAGGCTTATTGTATTTGTTAATGATACTCACAATATTAAGTTTAGCGATTTCAGAATTCAATTTATTTTATAATGGAAGCCACTTCGGAGGGCCAGGCAGCTCCAGTTTCATGGGAGCAAGAAAATGCAGACAATAATAAAGGTAAAGGCGACATTGGCGATGGTTTAGAGACATCACTGTCAAGCCTGAACGTGGATGCACCGCCATTTGTGCCATCTTTCGCGACTCTTGTTGCAGCAAAAGTTCAAGTCGACGAAGCCGGTGACGAGGGGCAACTGATACCGGGTAACCCTAAGACTTAAATGTTAGCTTGCAGTGAATAGGTAAAATCCATGCATAGTCTGGAAAATTGTCACTGACTGAAGTCTTGCATTTTGCTTTGCTGTCATATTACGATGATAAAATTTATGTCACTGTCAGTCAATTAGAATATGCTAAAATATGGTAAGAAATGGCAAGGTGATATAGCTTACAAAACCTTTCAGCCAGCTGTCACCCTCCACCCAGTAAAAATAGTAAAAGAATAGGAATAATATTTGTGTCCCCAAACAAGTTATCAAACCAACTTATCAAATGGTGTTTCAGAAGAAATGAGAGTGGTGTACAAGTTTACAGTAAAAGTTCATAACTAAGCAATTTTTTATTTAGTCAAAGTACAAGTCTGCATCTAGGCTTCTATTTCCAAAGTATAGTAATATTTCTCCAACCTTTTCATTCTGTGTTGCTGATGTTTTTTGTTGCACACAAGAAGGTAAATGCTAAATTCCTTTCATTTGTGTACAACTTTTATACATTGTTTTAGTGTTAAGACTGGTTAATATGTTGCTCCTCAGTTAAGTGTTACAAAAGTAAAATAAAAAATCAAGCGATACATTTATATTCATTGAAATGGCATATTTTTCACTCGCAACTTGTGAATAAAATACTTTTCATGACCAAACTTGCTGGTTGTGTTGTTAAGACTGATAAATATAAGACAGAGAAAACAAGTGCAAACCCATTAAGGCTGTCTTGTTATAATAAATAACTTAAACTAGGAATCACTCTGATATGACCCCAGTTAAGTAAGGGAACAAAAACTATACAAATGACTTTACCATTGTCTTATCTAAGGTTGATATAACCTTTTCATTTATTCAAGATAAAAGCAAGAACTATTTTTGGTCTTTACACCACAACTAATCTCTCAGTTAGCTTTTTAGGGTGTTATCAGCAAATACCTATTTCCTCCCTTCTATTTTTTTACAACACCAATGAATTTCTCATTCAAGAATTAAGTCCTTTCTAAATCTTCATGCTCAAAGTGCTAAGTTTACACTTCTCAATATTAAAGCTCATTTTTTTGTACTCTGGCTTATTAATTAAAGCTATTGAGGTGTTTTTGAATGAGAAACCTCAACAGAATTTTAGAATCACCATAAAATTTTGAAATATTATTGCTTAAAATGCCATCCAAACCATTAACATAAAGAATGAGTATAGTTTATAAAACAACTTGAAATATGCCACTAGTGAGCCTGCAACCTGAATGAAATATTAGATCGGTGCCAGTGCACCCAAGATCAGCCGATATTGCATTGGTATGTTTTGCATGTCCAGATGTCCCTAATGTATATATATAAATATATACACACACACACACTAGTGGCATATGTCAAGCTTCAAAACTTGTCTTCAAATAAATCGCACACGTATCAGACTAGAAAAAGTGGAATGTTGGCTCAAGAACCTTAAATTGACTGCAAAATGTTGTAAATCATATCTGTCTGGTATTTCTTCATCGTTGTAAACCCTATAACAAATACCACTGCCATAAAAACAGGAAGTGGGAGGCTAAACCTAGTAATACTCATGAATACCAGAAATAAAGGCACTTTTCGAGTGATGCTAGGATATTTTATGACAAATAAAACTATGTTTGTAAAATAAATTAAGAAACATTTAATATATATATCAGGACATGACCTGAATTGATGGTTAATAATATTTCTTTTTTGCTTCTCCATGATTGACATCATTTTGAGATGCATTGTGCTCTCTCCGCTGTGAGGGCGCCTGAATGTATTGTATATTTTCACTGGTAAACAAACTTATTTATCTGATCTTTTTAAAAATCAGATTGGAAAATTCCTTAGACTAGATCGATATTAGCAATCGATACTGAAATTGGTCGCAGGTTTACCTGTTAGTCATACTGTGAAAAAAATGCCCATTTATTACCACTTTTTTTTGCTTATATATCATTAATTTTCTATCCATTTAATCTTTCCACCAATTCTAGAAGAAATTGATTTTCTACTCAGTTTCCTGCAAAGTCAAGGTATGCAACTTCAACTGTGATGCCTACATTAGAGCTGGGTGATTAATCTATATAATCGATTAACTACAAGCATCGATTTCGGTAATTAGTGTCCCATAAAACATTTGATAAATCAAAATTACAATTAAATTGATTAATGTCACAATTATTTAATTGAAATTTGTTTGCGATTATTACTATTTTTGATTATTCCAAGTATCCAAGTTATTGGAATTTTGCAATTATAATTTTTCCTTATTTAGATTAACAAGGGGGAAAACTTATGCTTTGCATATGAAACATCTTTTTTGGTTGTGATATTTTTTATCTGGATGCAAACAGTTTATAAAATTTAAAGGCAATGCTGTGTATTTAAAGTAATTAAAACAGTTGAGTGACCTACCTAAGCTACACGTGTATAAGGTTAGGTAGGTAGAGTAATTAACAAATCTGATGACCATGTGAGGCATCTAATGACTCAAGGTTAAATGTATTCCATGACAATGATACCCACCAAATGCTTCTAACACAAAAGATGCTTTGAGCTGATTGGTTTGATAAAAATTGCAAATTGATCAACTTACCTGGTAACAGACACCAGCTCTAGTGAGGGTTTCAAAATCTGAGTAGCAGGGGCGAGTGTTAAAACTCAACAGGGTGACAGTACCAGTGCTCTATAAACAAATGAAATTGACCAACAAAACCTTAATACGTAAACACTGTTGTCTGAGGGATGGCCAATATATTCCCCAAATGCCTTTCCTTTGCTGTAATTTCATTTTTGCATAGTTAAATGAAGTATAAAAAGCTTCACCCACATGCATGTACACAACTCAACTGTATAGTCAATGAATCAAAATTAGTGTTTTCAATTATTACAATTTTTTTTTATTCCAAGGCATGTGAGAATAATCAGTCAGTTGAATGTACTGATTAATGAGTCTGATAATTAAATATCAAATTGTACTAATTGCCCAACTCTAGTTATCAACAAAAATTTTAAAAACAGTAGTGGCATTATTAAAAAATCCAAATTGGTAAAGTAAGAAAGCTATTTTAAAGCTGTCAGAATTTAAGATAATATTATTTCACCAATTGTCAGAATAAAAGGCTTTTACTTATAGTTCTTAATAGTATAAATATATACTGTGTTGTCGTTGGGCTTAGGATTCCTTTACAGTAGGTGTCTGTGACTTGTTGGTAATATATTCAACAATAAATGAGCAGCATGCACTTCACTTGTTTTCAAAATATTGTATTTATTCAGAAGAAGTTAAGCATATGTACAACAAATTCTTCCCACTATAGATATTATAAGCATATCATAAACACTATATATATATTTGTTTCTTTAGTTATTAGAAGCAGTCTTGTCAAAAGTCCACTTAGGCCTATTTTCCTTTAGAATTTCAGTTGACAAGCCAAACTATCTTCTCTATTACTATCGCATTAATATTCTGTTTGTGATTCACTTACAATTGTGGTGTGAGTTACTATAATTGTTTGGTCTTTTTTCTTCTAAATATCCTCTGTTCTTTTTGTCAAAGTGCACTCAGACTGATTCAGTTATTTTAGAACCACGCTTTGCCAGAATAATTGTTCTTCTTTATCTCCTTTTCTACTGTTGGTTTATTAAACATTAGGCCTATCACTTGTATGGTAGTTAACTTCATGCCAAACTTTCCTTACCTGTAACTTTACTCTCTTCTGCTGTTGTCTGTTTGCTGTTTCTACTCATCTCACACTATTTATATGTTTATCACTTCTAGAAATCTCTGAATTTTTGACATCAATGTATTCCACTCAATATTCGATAGTCTGAACATCGATGAATTATAAATACAACTTCCAACAATCGTCTACTCTTAACTCTTATTATAACAAAAACTAAACAATAATAAAATATTCACTCACAAAAATAAATTAATCAATAGTATCTAAACTAAACAGTCTTTTATATCATGACATAATCCCCTCTTCAAGATAAATTTTTACAATGTGTTTTTTTGCTGTATACAAAGACTGTTCTTAGTTTATCCACAAAGCCTGCTAATACAGTCTACACTAACATTCACAGTTCCTTTGTCTATTAGCGTAGGGTCTCTAGTAGGGCTCCCCCCTTAACAGGATCCCTCATCTTCATCAGCATTCTCAATTGCTTCTGAAAGCAGATAGCATCACCTTTCTACCACAAATCCCCCAGAGAATATTGCTCCTATTGGGGTTTCAGGGCTTAAGCTTATTTAAGTAAAATCAGTTGTTGGTATGAGGAAGTCAGTGTGTTAACGTGAAAGGATTTAACTTGTGACTTTTGTGATTCTTTTAGTCAGAACTTCCATTTATATATATAACATGAATGAAAATTGCAATCACTATTTAAGAAATGGTAAATCACAGTGGTTGAGGTTAAAACATCATCATGCCTAGACAGGTTTCTGTCTAACCAAATGATCCCTATCCAAATCATCACATAGTGAGCAAGTGACAGCTTTTGACAAATTTTATGCCATCATTGTCATATAAGTTGCTGATCGTTTTCATAAAACGATGGTTGCTGGATATTAGAAGGCTAAAGAAAAGTAACAGCTAAAATCAAGAAACACTTATAATTTCATATACTTTTGGTGATAATTAGTTTTTTTTATTATTTATTATTATAGAAGTAAACCCCAGCATCCATTTCATAATGGAATTTCATGTTTTTGTAAGCTAAATATAATATATTAGATGTTTAATTCCTCTATTCATTTAGGAAAATATTTTTGTTTGGAATTTGTTTAAACATTTGATAGGAACATATTCCTTTCTTTGGTTACCTTGATGAAATATTCCAATCTTTGTTGACCCTTTTTCCATTTGGATAAGCAATCCAATTTTTCTCTCCAGTACCTTGCAGCATTTTGAAGTCAACTTTTATTTTAAATCAAGAACATAATTTATTAACTCTACACTTAGTTTCATTTCATATTTTGATGATGATATGATT